TGCAACCAAGGTACATGCCCTTGACCGGAATCGAACCTGGAACCCCTCAGTCTGTAGGCCGACGCTCTATCCACTGTGCCAAACCAGTCAGGGCTACATGCTAATTATTTTGTAGCAGTTAAATAATAATGAAATATTATTCAACTGTTACAAATAATTATTTTGAATAATTTGTAGCAACACTGAAAAATGCTTAAAAGATTACATTAAAAACCATATATGTAGAAATTTATAAGCAGACTCTAAAATGTATATGGCAAAACAATACAATTTATTTATGTATGGTGATTACAACCATATAAAATAAGCTTTTTAAAAGTCATGCAGGGCCAAAACCGGTTTGGCTCAGTGGATAGAGCGTCGGCCTGCGGACTGAAGGGTCCCGGGTTCGATTCCGGTCAAGGGCATGTACCTGGGTTGCGGGCACATCCCCAGTGGGAGATGTGCAGGAGGCAGCTGATCGATGTTTCTCTCTCATCGATGTTTCTAACTCTCTATCTCTCTCCCTTCCTCTCTGTAAAAAATCAATAAAATATATTTTTAAAAAAAACTATCTTAAAAGTCATGCAGGAAATATAATAAAATGGTAGTAATTGCAACAGGTCATAAAATGATAGGTAAGTTTTTAAAAATATATTTGCTCTTCCTATAAAAATGCCTTTTTATTATCATTCCCAATAAACCATCTTCTTCTGAAGATGGACCGATGAGGAAAATAATATCAAAAGAATCTGATGAATGGCTTTCAGGAGATATGTGTTCCATATTCCCCAATTATTTTATTAAAGTTGTATTCCCTGGAGTAGCTAATTCAGATCATCTCTCATGTTCTATCTGTGAAACCTACCTTGTTTGCACCTCTGCAGGGATATATCACTCCAATGGATTATATTTGGCTAAAGCATCTGATTCCAGACGTTCTTCAGAATAACAAGGACTTTCTCTTTGGGAATATCAGAGAACTCTACGAATTTCACAACAGGTACATACTAATTCAAATTACCAGGAAAAATGGAAAGTAAGAGAAGGCTGGAAATCAGACTGATGGAATTTGGCCATGAAAGTACTTAGATATTTTCAGGCTTAAGCAAGTAATCCAGAGTCAGTGGGTTGGGATGGGATGTGAAGGAGGGGAGAAGTGCTGCGAGATCCCTGGGGGAAGAGGGAAAAGACATTAATGAAGGCTGAACTAGCTGTCAGGCATCAATGTTGTATTTGTGCTTGCATTCTTTTGCAAATTTATCTATTTATGCATCAGCATTTATTGAGCACCTGTTGGGCGTCAGACCCTGTTCTGCAGGGGGAATACAACGATGACCATGCCTATTATCGAAGGGTAGTGCTGGGAACTAGGGTGTTAGAAAATGCTAACCGGTCAAACAAGTCGTCCTTTTAGCCCAGGGCACTTTAAATGTCGAGTTCTAGAGAAATAGAGGACAAAGGGACTTTGGAAATCATTTTCCAACCCTTGCATTTTGCAGATGGGTAAACCTCACTTTACTTACTAGACTGACTCCAAAATTACACACCTAATTGCCGGAAGGGAAAGGAACCTTGGTTGTTTCCTAACCACATCTTATGTCTATTGGTCTGTTTTCAAAACCGAAATGGAAATCTCATTTCCAATACTTTCCCTGGGAAGCTATGTAGCCTCTCTTAACCTCGGGTTTATGAAACCCTATCTTGCAAGGTTTGGTGGAAGATTAAATGAGGTATTGTTTGTGAAGTACTCAGCTTATGCCTCGCTCATAGGAAACTCGGGTGATAGCAGTGGTGGCAGCAGCAACAGCAGCCGTTCTTATTAACCTTAATGGGTGGCAGGAAGCATCGTGCATCCCGTCTGCAGTGGCTCGTGCTTAGAATTATCAGGGAATTTAATGTGGTTGTTTCAGGGGATCCTACCCATGTGACAGAATACACTTTTTTTCTTCCAAGTCAGTGTGTTGAAGATGAATCAAGAGCAATAAAGTTCAGAAAACAATGTTTTTCTAGGCACCTCTTAAAACCTTATATGATTTTACTTTTAAAAAATGTAATGCATGTAAATGTCATTTTAAAAGCATTATTATACTTCCCCCCCCAACCCCCCCAGGACTTTTCTAAAAGAATTGGAAAAGTGCACTGAGAATCCTGAACTTCTGGCTCGTTGCTTTCTCAAGAGAGTAAGTCTGCGTTCCTAAACAATCAGAATAACCTTGTGATTCAAGTCAGCCCTTAATTTGCTGTGTAGGTGGCAAGGGCTAATGGCAACGCCAATGGTCTGAAAACACATCTGCCTTTGGAAGGCAAAGCAGAAGTCCCTTGCACAAGGGCACACAGTGTGAGACATGTCCAGTTTGAGCTCACTCATGGGTGGGGGCCTTATAAGCCTGGCTTCCGGCAAAGCCCCGTGAAATGAAAGACTGGCCCCCAGGCAACCCAAAGCAGCTGATCCTGAGTAACTCTGCATGACTAACCTAACTCTTTTAGGACCAGAATCACACTTACATTCCTCACTAGTTGTGTTAGTACTCTCAAGAGAAGTAGGACTGATGTTAAACTGAAAATCCCTGAAAATGTATTGACTTCCATTTGATGTTCTATAGCGTAGAGGGTGGTTAGAAAATGTTAACTCTACGGCCTCTCTGACATATAGCATCCGATTTGTGAATTTCCTGTTCTACAACCACATACGTCTGACGACCTCCCCTTCCAACCACACAGCCCTCTTCCCACTCAGACTTCTCCACCCCTGCTCTGGGCAATAAGTAGGTTGTTTGGGTCAGTGGTGCTCCCTGGGTGCTGGCACCCACGTGTTCCCCTCCCCGTAGGAGGACTGCAGATGATCCTGCTGCCCTCAGCTTCCTAAATCTTTCCCATTTCTTCTCTCTCAGCCATTCTTTTCCATTTCTTCCTTGTTTTTATTTTTATTTTTGTGAATCTGAGACAACAGATCAAAGAACTTCCAAATTTTTAAACAACCCAAATTATGACTGAGGAGTTTAAGAGCAATACTTGTGTAAACTGAGAGCAAGCAAACAAGAATCCCTAGGTTTCAAGGTATTGGACATCGTGGAAGAACAGAGCTTTCAACCCTCAGAGCTCCCAACCAGCTTAGAAGGCCCCTCCCTCCATGGCCCTGCATGCACTTTCCAAGCATCAAGTGCTGGAAACTGTTTCGTATTCAATCTCATGATTTCCTTTTTGAATTGTTTTTACAGGATTATTAGTGTTTTTTCTTACTTTGCAACTTTGCACTTATCAAGACACCAATGTGAAATCTAGTTTCACAGTTTAGAAATATTTTATAAACACTTATATCATTAGTAGAGGCCTGGTGCACGACACTCGAGCACTGGGGGGGGGGGGGGCCCCCCGCCCGTGCCCCCTTTTTTAGCAGTGACATCCTTAGCGCTGCCATCCTGCCACCTCCGCTGCGCTCGCCAGCCATCAGCCCAGCTTGTGGCTGAGCAACGCTCCCCCTGTGGGAGTGCACTGACCACCAGGGGGCAGCTCCTGCGTTGAGCATCTGCCCCCTGGTGGTCACTGCGAATCATAGCAACTGGTTATTCTGCCATTTAGTCAATTTGCATCTTACCCTATTATTATATAGGATTGCAAAGACATTTACATTTTTTGAGTGAGAAAAGGACCAAATTCCTATGGGGGAAAATGGGTATAATCACATAAAAATTGTTTAAGTATGAGGAAATAGTCAGGGAGTTGCCAACTAAACATCTTTTCTTGGATGAATTCCTCTCCTACAGTTATACAAGCTTTTTATAGTCCTCCATGTTGGGAGACACCTTCCTTAGAAATCATTAACCCAGATCACAAACTCTGTATATAATCCTATATGATTAATGATGTTGGAGACAAAATACAGGTAATAAATTCTTATCTTAAAGCTGCAATTATCTAATCTTTGAGAATCCTTGAGAGTATTGGCTACTGCTGTACAAAGACTTGTATTTGTTAGCCAATAAGGTGGGCCTATCATCCTTTTTTTACTATAGCGGTTTATCTTTTCTCAATAGTATTTGCAGATTGACACTAATCATAGATATGAACTTCGAAATATTGCTCTGGCCAAGGTTGTTTTTTTTTTAATTATTATTACTGATTTTAGAAAGAGGAAGGGAGAGGGATAGAGAGAGAGAAACATCCATGAGAGAGAAACATCGATTGGCTGCCTCCTGCATGCCCCCCACAGGGGATCGAGCCCACAACCCAGGGAATGGGCCCTGACCGGGAATCAAACTGAGACCTCCTGGTTCATAGGCTGATGTTCACCCACTGAGCCACACTGGCCATGCTGGCCAAGTGTTTTCATTAGACTCTATAATTATAGCGCCCAGGGAGATTCTGCCCCCAAGACCAAGCTCCATGTAGAATATTATTTGTCAGTGGTTTACTTTGAGTTTCCTTTGCTCTCTGGAAAGAGCACGGATGAGACTCGGAAAATGGAACTTCTTATCTAGATCAAGCTGCTACCTGCTTGACCTCAAGTAAGTCACTTAAACCCTTGGAGTCTCACTTTCCTCCTCCATACAACAGGCTTAATAATACCAACACGTAGAGCTGTTGTGGAAGTCAAATAAAATAATGCATGCAGAAGGGTTCTACAAAGTAAAAAGTGCTGTGACAATAGCTACTATTTGTTGGGTACTCTGCATGTATCGGGCATTTGTTGAGAGGTTTCTATACATCATCTCATTTAATCTCACAGCAACTGTAGGAATTGACTGCTGTGGTGAGCCCACTTAACAGATGAGAAAACTGAGATGTAGGAAGGTTAAATAACCTCAGGCCATATAGTTTATAATTGACAAAGCCAAGAACTGAACCTGAACCATCCACCACCATCTTGATTCATAAGCAGTCATGTCTCCCTGTGTGCATATGAGTTTTTGGTAGTAATTTTTTTAGCTTCCTGATTTATTCTATAAGGAGGTGAGGGGAATCGGGCACTTTCATATGCTGCTGGATTGTGCACATCTTTTCTCTCAGGAATTTTGGACTAAAGAGCAAATCAAAGTCAATAGTTACTAGTATAGTTCGGTACTTGGCCTATAATGTCCTGTGTTGTGGCTCCAAGTGCAGACACATAACCAAGGTGAAGGTTTCAGGAACACAGGTTTCAGCTCAGCTCCCATGGAGAGAACCAGGTCCGTCTGTTACTGGGAGAGTTGGGGAAAGGTGGCTGACTCTTGAGGATGCTTCACTGGGTGGGAAGCTGTATCTCCAAAGTCTCCTTCAGCTACTGAGAATCTTCTGGTGGTGAGTGTTGAAAGCAGCAAAACCTTAATTCTTTTAGGACAGTGATGGCGAACCTATGACACGCGTGTCAGAGGTGACATGCGAACTCATTTTTTTGGTTGATTTTTCTTTGTTAAATGGCATTTA